ATTAGGGGAGAAAGAATGATACAAATTACCCCAACATCTATATAACAACTAGTTTATGGGGAGGGCATTTTGGGTAAAGTGATAAATGAATTTACAATGACCAAAATACCCCTCCCAACAACTAAAAACTATTAGTTTTAAGGGTATTTTGGGCAATTGAATTATTTTCAATTCCTATAAATAGCTCTATCCTCCACCATTCTCATCACTCCAATTCAACAATTCCTATAAATAGCCCTATCCCACACCATTTTCAATTCCTACAATGATCAAAATCAATGAAGTTAATATTTTTTGTATACTTAATAATTGTATAGCATTTTTTTTCAAATTATTGTAAATTTTGTTTTAATTTATTTGATATTTTTAATTTGTAACTATAGTGTTTTTTATATTTATTAAATTATTCTATTTTCCAATTTTCATATTCCATTCATCCAACCATTGTATGCTCTGGTTAAGTACTTTTTTTCATTTCTTTGTTAGATTACTTATTTTTTCTAATAGTTCCTAAAGGAAAATTAAATACTTTAGTTTTACTTAGCAAAGAAATAAAAAAATATATCAAAAAATAAAAAAATAAAAAACAATCTAACCCAATTCAGTCCACGCTTAAGGCCTATCTTGTGGCCTAAGCCCGTGGCACAGCCTACAACCCGCCTGGCCAAGCCCACGGTGCGACACGGGCCCGCATAAGCTTAGGCCATGGGTCGTGCTGGGTCGATCCCCAAATTATCCCTAGGGAGGGCGGCATGGCCCTAGACAGCCCACGGGCTGGCCCAGCATGGCCCATTTTACACCTCTAGGCATAAAATATAGTTGCGGTTACACTGTATCGTTGTCTTTTATAAGATCTTACCATTTTTATATAGGCTGTCTTTTCTTTGCAACAAAACATGACTTTTTCATCAAGATTGATTACGGCCCACTGTATCGTTTTCATATCTTGGATGTTAAAACTGTCAAGATTAGATTCTGTACAATTAACCAAGCGGAAGAATGGGCTGCCTAAGAAGCCATTAAAATAGCTCTGATATCCCATCAATTCCCGACCACTATCGAAAGCGATGGTGATATTGTATTTCAAGCAGAAGATAAAGCCCCCTTGGAAGATGAGAAACACTATTGAGAGCTGCATTAGGATGAAAACACCTTTCCTATAAGACTTATTTTTCGCCGTGTCTAAAAGTGAACCCGGCCACGGATTAAATAGCTCGTGAAGCTCAGATTGCTACGTCGAATTTTTTATGTTTTAGCTTTTCTTCCCTCCCCTTCTCTTCTTTTTATTTGTCTTGCTGACTTATGCGGGCGCATTAGTCATTACTCCATTTGTTGTAACGCTCTTTGGTTTTTTCACTCATAAAACAAAAACATGATTCACTTTATTTTATTTCTATTTTTATATATTTTGTCAGAAGAAATGGGTGGACCCCATTTACCAGTGCCCGCCTAAATTGACTGTATACTATGCAGTTGGAGAGGGTCCACATATTTACTTATTGGGTTATTATTTATTTAAAGATTTTTGATTTCATGATTCTCCTGTTTCTTGGGTCCTTCCTCTCCTGCTCTATTAATGGTTGAGACTTGAGACTTGAGCGCCGCAGCATTAAATTAGGGATACGGGATACACTCCCCTGGTTTTACCTTCCTGACTCACAGTGACAGTCACAGAGCCCAGAATCCAGACTCAGAAATCAGAATTCAGAAAGAATTGAAGAGATCCAGAGATCTATCGATAGAGAGAGAGAGAGACAGAGACAGAGTCCCATAACCCAACCCAATAACCCTTTTCTACGGCTATACCATGTACCGCAGCACCAATACTACTGGTTTTCACTTTTCAGCTCAACTGCCAGATCTCAACTCTCATTGGGATATTTCTGCATTTATTTCTGTGGAATTCTAGCTTGATGAACAAGAATACCAAAAAGAAGGATGGATCCGTTATTACTATTCTACCCTACGGCTGACTAGTCGTCGCCGCAGATCTCTATCTCTCTCTCTCGTCGGTGAGATGTTCGCTGCGACCTGATAGCGCTCGTCAAAACCAGGAAAAGAGAAACAGTTCTTAAGCATACCTTATAAGTTAGAATCCATCCTCCAGCTGAAGCCACACCAACAGTATGCGATAGCAGATGTGACTACGTCAAAGCTGCCGTCAGCTACCGCACTGGATGACCGGAGAGAGAAAGCGCTCAGTCAGATAAGAGATTGGTTTGCAGAGAGAGAGAAAGAGAGAGGGGAAATAACAAAGGTTGGATTATGTGTCTATCCTATTCCTAACTCTCTATAAAGTGGAATGTAGCAAATAAAAGTATTTGGAGGCAGTGCCACACATGATTTAAGCAGACTTATCCGCGGATTAGAAAAGGATACTTGATAGAAAGAGACAGCTGCCAGTGCCAGCTGGTGGTCCATGGACCATGGTCCACAGCCCAAAATCCAGTAACTAACAACAACAGATACTGGGCCCCCTGGACCTGGATCCGCCAAATGAACTGCCCAAACTAAACCCCACAGCCCACGGGCCATGACCGTTTTACTTACTAACCCCCATCCAACAATCTAACCCTAACAAACCCTTAAATTAATCTTTTTCTATGTGTATTTGGGCAATTGGGCTCGGCCTCTCTTATTTTAACCCAATTACAAATAATATACCATACGAGGTCAATTCCGCCCCTCCCCAAATTCCCTTTCCAATTTTGACTGGGCTATCCAAATTCCCTGTTATAAAAGCAGAGAGATTCACAACAAATCGTGGCTGGCTTTCACTTTCCATTAAGACAACGATTGAAGAAAAGTCATCTCTTCACTTCACATGACGGTTAGACCTAGCATTTATTCAGTGTTTATTCGTGTTGGATGCAGTACACTGTTTATATTAACTAGATTCCAATCTGACGTCAGAAAAGTGTCCTCCCCTCGTGTAATGAATGCCCCCCCCCTTCCCTCCCCTCATTACAAGATAAAGAATAGTAATTTGAATGGCAGCAGAAGCAGCGGAGAATAGAAACTATATAAAGGATGGATACATTTTGTACACGTGGCGTAAATTGAATTCAAAGTTCCGGGTCGGGAAGGATGTGGGCGCGTGGGTCAGGGTTTCCGATGGACGGTCCGTCCAACTTTTTGTTGACGGGGTGGGAAATGAAATCTATCTTTGGTTGTCTTGTGAGACCCGAATAACGACAGAGACACATGGTTTGCGTCGGGTGATGAATGATGCACGTGAAATATAAAAAAAGGATTTAATTCAAAGATACCTCTTCCAATCGGGTGGGGTTGGGGGACCCGCATATGTAGACCTTCTAGGTCCGATTTCCAACATTAAAACAATTCTCTCATGAGTCATGATCTTATCTTATCTGGCAATTGCAATTGGGATTTGGGAAGCCTCCTCAAAGTTCAACCTCAGATCCTAATCACTTTTTTCTAACGTATATCATATTATATTAACAAAGGAATGAAAATATGAAATGAATGGGTGACATAGAATTGTCGGGTTCGACCCGAACAAATTTCGTCTACATATACACGCTGGCAGCCTACACCCTATTGAGCCTACCCTACATTTGATTTGGAATTATTACAATCTTTTCAGAATTGAAAACCAATCTCTTGCTCTCCACCTTAAGCCCAATTATCAACCATAATAAGTGGAATTGTGTTTGTGCGTGTATGAGAGAGTCAGAGAGAGATCAAATTGGTGGAGCCGTGGAGGGTTTTCAAATTTCAATTTCAACCAACCAAACTGTGGAATTGGAGGCCGACGTGTTCCAACTTCCAAGTTTCAAACTTCAACTTGTTTTATTCTAGATATCTATCACGGTGGTGGGAATAAGCAGAGGGTCTGACAATAAATGGATGGACGGACGAGTTTGGTCAATCCAGACCGTCCGTCAAATAGGGGGCAATCTTTTTAATTCCCCAAAGTTGCGCACAAGATTCATCTTTCATACTTGCCACGTGGTGGGAGGCTATTGGAGAAATAGATTCTTGGTAAAAAGGTGTTCCATTCGATGGTGGAGCCAGAAAGATGAAAAGTTGATAGGGAAGACTAATAAATTTCAGCTTTGGGTATTTTTATTCCTTTTGGATTTTGCTTTTCTATTCTATGAAATCCTATTTCAACATATTGATGTCGATTATGACAATAGACCATTTGAAGGAATTTTAAATCCATTCTGAATGAGAAGCAAACAGACCCTAGAGAGCCAAAATTGGGTGAAAAGCAAAGCGAATAAGGAAAAGTAAAATGGGTTGGGGCATGAGACTTGACAGGCAAGGCATGTGATGACATGCGTACCACCACGTCGATCCGTTCATCAGATAACAAAAACTAACCGGAAGCAGCAGGACTGTAGCAGTGACAGTGCGGGTACCACACAACCGAACCACACCACCCCCAACTTTTGTTACTGAATAATAGTAGAAGATTCTTCGTTTTTCATTTTACTGTATTCTTTAAGTTAAAGATATTTTTAATAAAGACACGTGTTATATACCGACTACAAAGAGCCAATGCTTGCCCCTTTTTCCAACACAACAGCTAGAGAGAGAGAGAGAGAAGAGTAGAGAACCGCAATCCAATCCAAATCCATCCTCCACGGCTCCAGCCATAAAGCCCACCGCTGAATAAACAAAACAAAAAAGCTCGTGTATCAAGAGCCAAGGCCCCTCCCTACAAAGAACGACAAACCTGACTTTTAATTTAATTACTCAATCAATAACAATAACCAAGATGATCCAATGTCCAATTCCAACGCCACCCGGTTCAAGCCCAAAATAACAAATAATAATTCAAATTATTTTACTTAATTAATAATATCATAAATAAAAAATAAAAAACCATAGTGGACTTTGGGAGGGAGGGATATCCACCTCTCTAAATGGAATATTTTAGCACTTCATCTTTCTTCCACACACCCATTTTCCTCCTATCATCACCCCACGCCCCTCCAAATCCAGAGTCATATCAAGAGAGAGAGAGAAAGTGATAAAAAGAATTAAATTGATAAAGAAAAAATTGAGGGTCTCTGTTTTCTTCTATGTGCCAGACATATATACACCCATCACAGATATAGGTCATAAAAACCAATTCCATCCTTTCCAAGGAAAGAAAATTATAAAAAAAAAAAAAAAAAAAAACAAAAAACGCCCTTCCCTACACCAACATACAAGGTAGGTCCACCAACATACAAGGTAGGTCCTGATCGGACTTTTCATTTCCCATTTTTTATATAACCGTTGATCATTGTAGACGCCAATGTTTTTCTGCATCGATGGATCCTCTGTCTCTTTCTCCAGACAGTCTCTTCTCCACCACCAAAAACCAAACCAATCAAAAATTAATTCCCTAAGGTCGACCGAGATCCACGACAGCCCGAAAACATCTAGCGTATGAACATGGGATACATCATACATACACTCAATCGTGATGATGAAGATGAACCTTATCGCCTTCAGTCCTTCAAAAATTGCAGTCGTATTATTAGATAAGAATCTTTGGTGCGTGCGTGCGTCCCCTAAACAGCGCAGGTTAGTATATGGCTGATGGTGGACGTGCACGTGCACATGGCTCCACGTGTCACACGGTACGGTCAACTCCCCGGTGCGGTGGGCTGCAGCATGCCATCTGGTAAGATAGATGGGTTCTGAACTCTCCGCTTTCACTTGGGTTGGCTTCATCATTTTATCTCCTCTCAGGCTGCCAGCAGGCATGCAAATTGTCATTTCCTGGGCAAGAAACCGTCGCCTCCTTCATAAATATATAAGCCCCAACAATACAAAAGTTCCAACTCTCGTATCTACCCGTATTCTTTATTCAAAATTCCTATTGAATCAACGAAATACTTGTACTAATAAAAAGGAACAATCTCTACTTACCGGCAGGTTGTTTTTGTTCAGCTGGTTTCACAGACACAGCCTGCACAGCATGCATGTATGGGAAGGTCGTAGACATGAGTGGGTGTGGGTTCCCAGCAGCTTGTGCCGCAAACTGAGCAGCGTGGATGAGTCCTGCTGGCGGCATTCCTCCCTTCATATTGTTAGCAGCTGCTGCTGCAGCAGCAGCAGCAACTGCTTTCGCAGGATCAGAAGTGGTGGCACCAGCTAATGAAAGTGAAGGACACAGCGAAAGCATCCCTGTAGACGCAGTGGACGACCCTTTCTGCTGCTGTTGTTGCCTCTGATGGTAATACCCCATTGTGGCCGTTGTAGCAGTAGCTGCTGGAGTAGTTGTGGTAACAGACTGGGGAGATTGGGTTTGCATATAGGCATTGGTGAAGAACAGTTGAGGCTGCTGCAAAGGCTGCTTCTGTAGCTGTTGTGGCTGCAACTGCGGCTGTGGCTTAGCACTTGAGCAAGGAGCAGTTGCAACGTGAGAGTTGCCCAGTATAGAAGGCACACTCCTACCACCGACAGGAGAGGACTTGCTGCTGGACCCGGAAGGCGAATTCTTAGCCTGTTGTTGAGACGATAATGTAGGTGAAGGGCCTGTTTTACCACCAGCAGAAGTTGTTCTTGGACTGCCCCCAGCAGTCTTTGAGATTGAAGAAGTTGGGGGAGACCCCACAACCACAGGGGGTGATGCTGCTTGGTTCACAGGGTGCTGTTGCCCCCCTTGTGGATTGGTCGATTTTGGATTCACCCCAAATGATATCTGCGTGTGGCCTTGGGTCCTGCTCGGCTGTTGAGGGAGATTCTTAATGGATGAAGTGGTCGTTGAAGCCAGTGGTTGTGAAGTTACCGGAGAGGTTGTTGTCCTTGCCGAGTTCTTCCATTGAGAGGACTGGGCAGAACTGCTACTTTGGATAAGAGGCTGCGAAAAGAGTGCATTTGAGAACTTGGATGCAACAGAAGAGGAGGAAGCAAGGTGATCGGAATAAATACTGCCACTGCTAGCTCCTGATGTTTTACTTCTAGCCGCTGCGGCGGCAGCAGCAAAATGCTGCTGCAGTTGGTTTTGCTGCATCTGCTGTTGTTGCTGCTTCTGAAGCTGAATCAGCTGCTGCTGCTGCTGAGAATTAGAGACCGCAGCAGCTGCAGTGGAACCAGTCATATTGGAACGGGATGTTCGATTGCCATTGACAGGAGGTGACATAAGGCCAAGAGTCCGAGAGCTATCAACAACGGTGTTGCCTAGAATTGTGGGTACTGCCTGGTCAGTGGAATCTGGCCTAGAGAAGGTAAGAGACTGCCCAGCGCCTGCTGGGGATTTCCCAGTCAAAGCCGTCCTTTCATCATCAGCATTGCTTGAATCACCAGTCTTTGCATCTTCAGAAATCTGGTGGTTCTTCTTCTGCTGTGCCACCTGAGCAGCAGCAAACTGGTAGCCATGCCTAGCCGCATCTGGCAGGCTATGGAAAATTGCATGATTCTGGGCCATAGAAGAGAAATCAAGCCCTGTAGAAGATGAAGCTCCATTGAAGGACGCAAATGACATGGCAAATGGTTGAGATGGAAGAAGTTCAACTCCGCCCTTCAGGCTCTGCTGTTGTGATTGCTGCTGCTTCTCACCATGATTCCCATTACCACCAGCACCACCCAAAGCTGCAGGAGTCATTAAGGCAAAGTTCTGCGGGTGAAACTGCAATGCATAGTTCTGGCCATACAAATTCTTGTGTGCATGAGATACTCTACTATCTGCGGTCGATGGGCTATCTTCCCCACCCACATCCGCCTCAAGTTGGCGAGCCTGATGAGATGGTGCCACATGCAGGTTCTGCTGCTGTGGTGGATGCTGTGCAGGCCGATTCTTTGAGGCAGGAAAATTATTAGAGTTTCCACCTCCACCATTACTACCACTACTTTGCAGACGTTGCTGATTCTGCTGATGCTTCTGTGATGATGAGGAGCCACTTGAAGTGCTTGCATTCTGATGGCCCTGTTGGTTTGGTTGTGTCTGGGAATGGGGTTGCTGCTGAAGTTGAGAAGGATGTAGCACCTGAGAAGAATAGAAAGACCCATTGAAGAAAGGCATTGCCTGAGTATGCGTTCCTCCTCTGAAAGGTGGTGGTGCTCCAACATGGGTTGGGATAGGGAATGGGTATCCATTGTTCTGCAATATCGCCAAGTACTGAGCTTCATTGGCAGGCAAATTTGGGTAATTGAAGCTTACAGTCGTGGTTGTTGCTGCCGTTGACGCAGAGCTCACAGGAGCACCTTGAACTGAATTAGCTGCACTTGAGGAAGATGCATTGCTGGTGCCAGTAGGAGATTTAGCAGCCCCAGACCGGTTGGTAGCTGCTGCCTGCTGATGGCTTAGTGGGAAGATGAAAGCAGGACCATGCTGAAACAGGACCATGAACACAAGTAATTACCTAAAACATGTCCTCTAAATAATTCAGACTCTAAAGAAAGTGAAGAGAGGACCATACCAGTAAATTACCAGCAGCAGCAGTCTGCGGAGCTTGCTGAAGAATGAGCGGCTTTCTCTGGGCATCAACGAAGTTGGGTGCCGCAGACACAGAGTTCTTATCCTTTGCAGCATGACCTGAAAAAGTGCCAGCAATCTGGCTTTTGTCTGGAACTGGGTTCAAATTCCTCCCTGGGAAAGTCCCCTGTAATGGGTTTCCAAGAATTGCGGTTTCTGTTGGAGGCACAACATTGAGGTTGTACGGCTTGGCTCCATAAAGCGACGCAGAACCGGCAGCTGCAGTCCAGAACGGATTCATCCTTGTGAACTGCTGGTGACAGTAGATGTTTCGAGCAATATAACAATGCGTCGCACACCTCTTTGGCCGTGGTTGGGAAAGAAGAAAATGGGGCGGCTGCAACGTTTTCACACCAAACCCCGATGATAAATAATCATAGAGCTTCGACAGAACATTTTTGTGGGGATTCGGGCCAAGGAAAAGAAAATTGTTAAATACCTGGCTCGGCATTGAGGATCCGGAGCTCCCGTCCATAGACGCAACTGCTTGCATTGGTGGCATATATCTGCTTACGAAGACGGAGTTACTTCTTAGATATGGAAGATCTAGTGTACGGTTATAATGACAAACAACCAAAACAGCCATGGAAACATAATGAGGAGATCGGATTCGCACCCCAGAGAAGTAATCCCGCCGGGCCAGCCAGCTACAGTCATCGACATAGGCAGAGAGGTGCATTGGGCTGAGAAAGAAAAAGAAAAAGAAGATGAGAGAAGAAAAGAAAATAGAAGGGATCCATCACGACGGTATGGGGTCACTAGAAAAGATGCCCTGCATAACTTTAAGCTCATTTACCAGGTTTCTCCATCTTCGCATCGTTTCTTGTGGACTTTGATGGCGGCGGCGGTGGCGGCTGCTTCTGAACTTGCTGTGGCTGTGGCTGTGGCTGTTGCTGCTGTTTGCTGTTGCTGATACTGCTGCTTTCCCTATCAGTTTTCTCCAAATCGAGCTGCAGGTCGAGGTTCCTTTCCCAATTCGCAATCGGCTTCAGTGGTTCAGATTCTTCAGCCATTGCCTCTATCTTTTTATCTTCCAATCCATTCTCCGCCGTATCCTGCTTAACAATTTTCTCGCCCTTCTCCCCTGCCTTGATCGCCGTAGTCTCCACCCTATGCACCTGAAATAGGATCGAGAGAATTTTTAACTAAAACTAAAAAAAGGCAAAAAAAAAAGTTCGAGAAAAAAATAATTACTCTTTGTAACCTATCGACCACCAAGGGATATGTGAAAATAATAGCGAGGTGACCTACTCACCACGTCGACATCGGGAACCATAGAATTAGGATCTGGTACAAAATCAGCATCACCATCTCTTTCTGGAGATGATTTCGAAGGAGGAGGAGCCTGTGGAGAAATTCTTTGAGTAAAACTCTGTAAAAGGAATAACTACAAAAATCTTATCCAGATATTAAGAGAAAATCTTCACCATCAGGTCGATCTTAAATTTTTCCTCCCGCTTGCTTTCAACCTCTGATCCTGCCGAGACTCTGAATAATCGGAACCATCAAAACGAAAATTAGACATATCAGAAACCTCAATAAGAATATGGCGGAAGAAAAATTCAAAACAGCAATAGATCTATTGAGCTCACGATTTTGTCGCGGTCTCATCCTCAAGATCAACATCGAATTTGGAACACGCAAATTCCTTTTTGGGTGGTGGGACTTCCTTTCTCGTCTGAATCGCATCACGATTTTCTGATTCTTCAGTCAAGGGCTTTGATTCCAAGTTGGTATTGCTCTCAGGCTTATTTGACTCCGATTGGAGCGGTTCCGAAGATGACACGGCTGCAGCAGCTTGAGAGGAACCCAAATCGAAAGAAACCGCACCATTTTCCATAGTGGATCCCGACATTTTCTCTAATTTTGGAGAAGAAATATCCATTTTCGGTGGCTGTTCATTTTCAACTTTAGCAGCAGCGGATGAAATGGAACCATTTCTGACCGGAAAATTAGCAGGGCCACTCTCTTCTTCAAACTTTACCGGTCGCGGCCTTTTCCTCTTTGGTGCTGCAGATGCTCATCAAACCAAGACTGCCATCGTCAGCCCCAGAAGGAGATTTCCAAAGGATCAAAAGAAAGAGTTGGGAAAAAGAATCCAACTTCCAGGACTACCAGCTCAAAATACTCACCAACAGCTGGTAACGGAGTCGACGAAGTGCTAGAATTCTGAGGCAACGTCGACGACTGAGGTGCCGCAGCCGAAACTGATACTGAGATCGGAGAAGAAACTCTCGACTTTGCCTCGTTATTCGATCCATTGGTCTCTTTTGAATCTACCTTCTGTGATGCGTTTGCTGTAATTTCTTGGTTTGGCGGGCACTGTGATTGCCTTTTCAATCCATACAGAACCTCTGCGACCTCGATCTCAATCTCCTGTATCGAAGAAGATGAGGTCTTAGTAATCTTTGGAGGCCGGTGCTTAGCTCCGATAGGTTTCTGCAACATAAGTTCAAACTTTCAATAGATGAAACTCCGGACACAGACAGAAACAGCAAAATAAAACCAAATAAAAAAGAATAAAAACTAACCATCTTCTTCCGAACAGAAGCATTGGAAGAAGAAGGCGAGATCGAAGCCGGTGAGGGTACTGGCGCACTTGGTCTCGCAGGTGAAGTTGAAGCCTGACGGTGAAACGGCTCGCCGCAGCCACCACCACCACCACCTCCTCCTCCTCCCCCACCACTACCACCTCCACTTGAGGTCCAACATTCATGTGACCTTTTAGCCGAAGCTGCGAAAACAAAAGAAAAGAAAAATTCCTGTTAATATCCACACAGAAAGAACATAATAGAACATCAAACTTCTCGTAAGCTCCATCCTCGTCTCTTTCTCTACCTGACCGAGCTTTTCTCGGTACCGACATCTCATCAGGGACCTTCCACGTCGGGGCCACCCTAACAACCTTAGCAGGCGGAAAGCTCTTCCGATGATGATGATGATTCGACAGAGAGGACGATGGAGGATTCGGGGGAAGCATCCGAACCGCACCGGCGTCTTCGTCCTCATCCTCCTCATCATCGTCAACGCTTTCTTCGGTACTTTCTTCTCCACCTTCCTCCCGATTACTCCCATGCATCAATCTCTCTCCCCTTCTTCTCTTGTTCCGACTCGACCGATCCCGATCTCTATCTTTCTTATTTACTCGATCTCGTAACCTCGCCGTTTCCTGCAATTCCATCGACCCATCTTCCTCTGTAAAATCAACAAAGTAAAGAAAACAACGTCAAGATCAGAGGAAAAATGAATAAAATTGGTGAGAAACAGTACTAAAGACAGATCTGAGAAATCCGAACCAGGCGAATCCCTCAGACTGCTGCTCCTTTGTCTCCTTCTCGACAATCCATTCGTCGCCGCTAAGCTTCCTCTCCTTGCTTCTCTGTTTCTATCCATCTCTTTCCACTTCTTCTCATGAAATCAAATACAGATGAATGTAAATCTCATCGTCTTACACCTTTCTTCTATAAACAGATCTTCCGACCGAATTGCTACCATAATTCACCGGATTCAGTGGAAGAAAACTCCAGATTCATGCCCTCCTCCGACAAGAAAAACGATTGTAGTGTCAAACTCTTCCGAAACAGTGAACAGAAAAAGGTCGGAGAAAAAAAAATCTCAGCTTTTACTTATTCTCTCCTCTACCTCCTCCTCGCCTCCTCTGTTTTTTCGCCTCTCTCCCGCTCTGCTTTTCTTTTCTTTCTTTTCTGCTCTAATCTCATCTTTTTAGTTTTGGTTCACTCTTCGCGAAACCCACTCCGAAGTCGCATTTACGGTTAGGATCACTTGTTTGCCACTGATTTAATCTGAAACGTTGAATTTACAATTAATCACACGGTTGTTGTTGGCTAGTGCCAACATGGCAAAAGAATCCGCCGTTGGATGTACAAGACAACAAAGAGCGTTAACTCTTCCGGATTTTCCCGCCACGTGTCGAATTCCATTACGCTTTTCTTTCACCCCAAGCTTGGTCATTTTACTCTCTCTCCCCCCTCCTAAATATAATGATATTCTAGTCGCTCTCTTTACGACGCCGACAACAGCCCGTCGGATGCAGATATCTCTCCTGATTTCTCACCGCTACTACCGGTTACTCGGTTAAATTGTAAAAACTATCGAGGGATTCACGTGGGTCAGAAGAATGCCTCCCAGCGGGAAAATATCAGCCGAAGCCGGTCAAATACATTATTTCATCTCCCAGTTCCAAACTTTCTTTAATTTATATTATTAAATATATTCTTTTCCTATTACACCACATATCTTGTGTCCTTTTAATATGGGTTGACTGCTGGGCCCACCACGAAAGCAACTGTAGGGGCGCCCAACGGTTTGGATATTTGTGCTGAATCAGGAGAGCCTTAAGAACCCTTGGATTGTAATCCGACGTGGCATAGAATCAATTCACACAAAGCAATGCTCAGAGCCGAACGACCGTCAGTCCGAGCTGGCATCAAACAACCCGCCTCATGCGTGTCGAACAGTTCCATCGGACGGTGGAGTTTGGAGTGGCAGGAGAGGAAGAAAAAAAAAAACTCGAGTCATGGTCATGGAAGTTCCGAGAAGGGTGGGGCCCATGTCATCTACTGATCTTGAATTATTTCCTCGCGGGTCCTCTTGTCGCGGCAACCACGTGGCAGATAAGTGACGTCACAAAGAAAACACACTTCTGCCTTCCCGGCCGCAGGCCGCTCAAAAAAATTAAAATAAAATAAAATAGAAAAAAAAAAGAGTTTTTCCAGTCAAATTCTGCGGCATAGAACTTGGAAAAGAAAGCCAAAAAAGGAATATTTAGAGTTTTAACTGTTTAAGAGGTATTTAAAAAAAAACGAGAAGTTTCAGACTTTCAGTGTGTCACTCTCCGCTTCCTTCGCATGGTTTTCCTCCACGCGCTTCAACTTGCCAACGTGTGACTAATATTGATGTGCCACGTGGCAATTGATGCGTTTTTATTGGTCGTACCGGATCTGGTTATTGGTCACCCTCACCCGCTCCACTTCCCCGTGCTAGCAAATATCTTACACAATAAACAAGCGGGTAATTAAAACTATTTGTCCGCTACGTCATTCCACAGGCCCACGGAAGTGGATCCACCTTTCTCTCTCTTTTTGTGGCCTTCGAGTCTTCCCTTCGTTTGTTAATTTTGTGATAAATAAATAAAAGGAAAGAACATTTTGGAACCGCCACGTGTACGCCATGTCATCCGGTCTACGTGGCATCTGCTTTACCGTAAATCCCATAGACCGAGAGAAGACGACAACAGCATCAATTTGTTAATCCCAAAAAAAAGTCTAGACGGATAAGTAATAATAAATAATAAATAAGAAAAAGAGGAAAGGAATATAAAGGGTGAGGGCCCCTTATCCTTGTTATTGTTGGAATATTTTTATTTATATAATAAATATATGGGGGAAGAAAACGATATAAAAATCAAGCTAATGGGGGGTGATGGAGCTTATTCTAAGCAAGACAACAAAGCATGTATTATTCTTTATTGACCTCTACACTGTTTTATATTGTGTTTTCTTATAAAGCATGCTCCTTAGGCTTTTCTACCTATTGAATTCGAGTTGAATGCTGGACATGAAACCCTAGAAAAGGAATCTATCCCTGCTTTCCATCTACCAAGTACAATAATAAACCTTTTCCCCACATTAAAAATACTACTTCCTTTTATTATTTTATTAATAAAAATTTGATATTTTATGTGGCTCATATTAGTTAATGCCTAACCAATACAGTAACATATACTAGTGTGTAGCTGCATTTAATTAAAAAACTATATATATATATATATGTAAGACAAGTTCATTGAGACCTTCTGAAGATAGGGGAAATTACTAATGAAATAAAATATAGTTATTTTCTGTTTATATTTAAATCACTAGATCCAATCTTTTACAAATAGACACAAGTATGGATTATATATCTACACTTAAGTATTTAGAAATTGGTAAGGTGGCAGGCAATAGCCGGTGAAATAAAAATATAGTTTTTTTGTTATATCGAAAATATAGTTCCTTCTTCCACATGGCAGCTATAAAATTGTCCACGTTGATCAGAATATCGAATACGTACCATTGGATTTTCAGGGTGTGATATATGAAATATTGCAAGAATGAATATGTTCAAATCTTAGGGCCCGTTTGATTTATGGGAAGAGGGGTCTAGAATTGAAACTATTTGGTTAGATGGAATCAGAATCCTATTCTCAGTTGTTGGAATAGCATTCTTCTATTTGAGGGAATGGGCTATCCTTCCCTCTTCCTCGGAATGAAATCCCATTTTAACTTATTCCAATTCTGATTCTGGTTCTTATTTGAACCAAATAAATATGGAAATAGATCATTCCAATTCTAATTTTAAAAGATTTTAATTTTAATTCTAATTCCAAATATAACCGAGAACCAAAAGAACCCTTAATAATATTTATAAGGGAGTCGGGGTCTCCTCCTAATTCCAATTCTAAGTCTCATCTACATCAATATTTTTGGTCCAATGTTACAAGATTCAGATCGAATGAGTCCGGATCTCTTCCTATTAAAACATGTTCCACATTTTTGACATGGTGAGTCTCAGTCTCATGGTGAAATGTCCATATCAAATTGAATACACAAACTGTGTAATCTTATAAGTTATAACATTGCTTTGATTCTTGCTACTAAGAAGTAAGAACTAACATTTATTGGATTCCGATGTTTTTTTTTTAATAAAATAAAATAAGACACACAACAGAGGGATTTGTTATTTGGAGTGGGAGATTGCTGCCACGTCAGCCAGTGCGTGTAGCGAACCCTGTTTTGTCTAAGCATCCAAGATTGAAAATTGACAAATATAGATAATTTTATTTGGTCACGCAAGATTTTATTATTCTTACATGCACTCATGGTCTTCATTTATTATATTTGTTAGTTGATAAATAATGCATTTATTTYCAAATAAACAAATGAAGTTGCTTTTAGTAAAGCAATAACAGTCCGAACATACAATTCAATATTATCTAAAGGAAAATTCTTTATAAAACCTAGAAGTTAAAGCAATCTGAAAATATAAAATAAAGATAAAGATATTGATTCAGAGGTACTTAAATAAACATTATTAACCTGAAATCTGAACAGCTCCAGCTCCAGTACATTGCATCCCTGGCGAGGGCGAGACTCAGCTGACCGAGTCATCAACCCGTACGAGTTGCCAAAGTGTYGTCACGTGGACACAATGGAAGATCAAAACAAAACGAGAAATAAATATGCGATGACTTAGTTACTTAGTTGTCATTATCCAACATTAGAGGGGAATATCAAAAATTACAAATTAAGGTTCCGTGTGGATGGGGGTGTCAACCTGTCAGGTCTGTGTAGGAATGGAACCAAGCCAAACTCAGTAGTTAGACTTAGAACCAATTCTTGAGACAATCCACTTGGACCCAATTATAATAAGTCTGTGGAAAATATTTAAATATCAATTTATTTAATAATATTACTATATATTCCTAGTATATATAATTTACTTAATATATAATATATATGGCTCGASATAGATCAGAATCAGATGGGGATCTGGTAAAATCAGTTTTGAATCGATAATAATCGGGACAATAGATTAAGAATAGAGCCAACCCATTATACTAATCCTGAAATTATAACAGCCCAGTACATGCACGTCCATCGGGTCAAATCCAATCCATTGATGGCCCTGGAGGCAAAAAATTGCCCCAATCCTACAATCAACCCAACCCGATGAAAATAGTTTAGGGTCCCTTACCCCAACCTGAAAAAGATTCTGGATTGGATTTGGTTGGGTGAATCACCCCTTTTGAGACCAACATTGACCTAAATGGTTGGATTGTTCTTACCATTTGGAAACATATGATTATTGAATCCTTATTATTATTTTTTTGTTAAAAATTATAGATTTGATCAAAGATCAACGAAGATTTAGGGTTAGGGTTTAACCTTTTCTAGCCCAATCCAAAACTTGGTTCAATCCTAAATCGCCCTAACTCAACCAAAACCTAGACAGCCCAATTCGATTGTGAGGGTCTAGTAGCTAGGGATGCAAACAGATCAATTCGAATCCGACTTGACAATGTTCATATTGGATTCGGCTCGATTCAAAGATCCGCTTGAATCTGATAAGACTCAATTTGAATTTGAATCTTATCGGTAAGTCAGATATTTGGATCTAACCCGATCTATCTTGTTTTTTTTTTTAAATTAATAAATTATTAAAAGAAAAACAAAATATACTAATTTAAATAAAGTGAAAACAAAAAATACAAATATACTTTAATTATTATCATCATTATATATATACATGTTTTTATAGTAAATAAATAATATAATAAATTTATAAAAATATAATATAAAAATACATTTATAAATAAATAATATATACAAATATATAATATATATGTGATTGGATAGGGGTGATCGATAACAATCTAATGGCATCGATAAATAAATAAATAACATATATTATGTATTTATATTTGTAATCGGATCCTATTATAGCAGGGGTAATCCGAATCCGACTAAATAAGATTGGATCGGAGCGGATCGATTTGCACCCCTAGTTATAGCTACAACTACAAAGATAGATTGCCGGCTGCTTGAAATGGCATCGATAACAATCCAATGGCTAAAATCTGAGATGGGAATGTGGATCCAAGTGTCCAGAAGTGATTGGATATTGGTGGTGGCTGGACGT